GAAGTGGCTGATTTTCCATTAGTTACTGTGTCAAATAAAGAACCAGAAGCAACAAAATGTTTGTTGAAACAGTTCAGGATCTCGTGCTTATTTGACACAGGAACAGAGTTAACGAGAAGTTGTGATGGGAGGTCAGATGATTGGGGGGTGCCTGAGAGAGATTTAATTGTTTTCCAGAATCTGTTAGGGTCATTTAGATTTTTGGAGGTCTGAGATAAGAAATAGTTGCGTTTTGCTGCTTTGACAGAAGTTGTACATTTATTCCTCATCTGTCGGAAACTCAACCAGTCAGTGTCTGAGCCAGATTTTCTCGCTGCGGCCCAAAGATGATCTCTCCTGTGCAGGAGGTCAGCTAGCTCTGGAGTAAACCAGGGGCTGTCTCGTCCCTTTATTCTGAACTGACGAAAAGGAGCATGTAAGTTCAGGAAATAAATGAAATTATTATGGAAATAGTTCCAAGCAGAGTTCACATCATCAGTTAACAGAATACGATGCCAGTCAAAGTGAGACAGATCCCAGAGGAATGACTGTTCACAGAAATGTTTCAGATCCCTTTTTTTAATTAATCTGGGCTTAGAAGGTGGAAGTTTACTATTTCTTAAAGCCGCTGTCACACAATGATCACTCAAAAGATCAGCGAATACACCTGTACCAAGGAATTTGTGAGGCATATTAGTTAGAAACAGGTCTAAGATGGAGGAATTGTCAGGGTGGCTTTTATTTAATCTGGTGGGGGAGTCGATCAGTTGGGTTAAATTAAAAGACAAGCAACATTCCTTGAATTTGTCACAGAGGGGGGTCGACTTACACCAATCAATGTTGAGATCTCCAGCTAAAAAGACCTCTGTGAATTTTAAATTACCAAGGAATTCCTTAATGGCATTTAATGCCTCAGGTGAAGCTGAGGGGGGGCGGTAGCAGCAGACTACAGTTAAAACCTGGCCTCCATTCAAGGTGATGTTTACAGATAAGGCTTCAAACTGATTTGGAATTGTTTTGGAAGTCACAAGACTTGAAACCAGGGTATCTCTAATGTAAATAATGACTCCACCCCCCCTTTTTTGACGATCACAGCAGTAGATGTTAAATCCATTGATTGCCACGTCATTATTCATTACAGATTTGTTGAGCCAGGACTCAGAAATAAAGATAACATCAGCCCCAGAAGAACTGACCAGGATTTTCACAGCATCAAGTTTTTTCAGAAGGCTACGAGCGTTTACATGCAGAAAATGAAGCCCAGAGGCATTTTTAAAGTCATTTGGTGTGCTGTAATTAATGGGGGGTCCAGGGTTGGGTTGAATTCCTGAGAGCAGTAACAACATTATTATCAGACATTTTCTTGGGTTTTCTGTGACTGATGTGTGATTACAGGAGTTAACAGTGTGGCAATTTTCCCCCATAATTGAACCATGAGAAACATTAATGAAGACGCGATCATTCAGAACCCAAAAACAGTGAAAGTTGCAGTGATGGACAGATTCAGGTGTATTAACAAGATTCAGTGACTCCAGATAATCTGAGAACTGAAAATAGTGACAGTAATATGAATGATGCAGAAAAGTTTCAGACCATAAAATGTCACAGTTCAAATGGGCAAACAAACCCGACGAGGTGGCCCAACTGCAGTTTGAGTCAGGCTGAGGGGGGCTCCGGCCCCCCTGTGAAGAAGGATGGATGGATGGATGGATGCTCCCAGGAGAAACAGAAGCTGGGTCCAGAATCAACAGGCCGAAACAGAAACAGAAAATTTGCAGCAAATAGCAGAACGAGCTGCCAGAAAATCCTCCTGAAGTGAAAGGCATGATCCAAGTTCGTTTCAGGTCAACAGGGGCCAACAGCGTGATCCGGAATAAAATTAATTATTATCCAGGTGAGTTTGGATGGAGGCCTGCAGCAGCTCCGATACAAACTCCGAACTTCACTCGAGCACCACGCAGCCCTGCTCCTCCACGCTGCTCCTCCGCTTCTCAGCACCCGACAGCACGGGGCACCCCCGGTGAAAAACGAGACTGACCGGAGAGGCTGAGGCTGAAGTCGGCAACTGGTCCGGTCCGGTTCTGCTCCAGTTCGGCTCCGGCGCTCCAAGCACGAGAGACGAAGAGGCTGAAGATATCCCTGGCCCGGTTTTGCTCCGGTCCGGCGGCCCAGTCTGGCAGCGCAGTTCTGCTCCGGTCCGGCAGCCCGGCGGCGCGGTTCTGCTCCGGTCCGGCAGCCCGGCGGCGCGGTTCTGCTCCGGTCCGGCGGTGCTTCAAAGCACCGGAGCGTCTCCTCCAGGTGAACACAACGACTCCACGGAGGTGGATCGTCTTTCAGTAAAAGTAACGGGCTGCTCACTGAAGCTG